CTGACACTTATGAATTATGTTATCATTTTGAATTTCATATATTACTTATTCAACTTGCTCTATTAACTGTTTCATCATTTATGCATTTATATTTTCTATTTAAAGCATTGATTATGATTGTAACAGCAACTATTTATATATTCTATTCACATTATTTTAATTTTTATTATATTATTAGTAATAGATATGATTTAACAAGTAATTTATTACTTATACAAACAACATTTGAAATATTTTTTTTTATTCTTTTATTAATTGGTCTTGATCGACGAGTAAAAAAATAAATTTGAACTAAGAAATATATGAATGATAGATTTTTGTTTTTTTTATTTAGATTGAATATATGAGTCGATTAGATTTATTATGGACAATTAAATTTCAAAATGAAAAACATGAAGTAGAAACTGTGAGCACTATTAGTCGACTTTTATTAGAAAATATTCTACCTAAACATGTGGCTGAAATAATTATTAAAGAAAATATGAGTCAGGTAAAGAAATTCATTTGATTAAAAAAATAGAATGAAAATTTTCTTTCAAAATTGATTATTTCTCAAATGGATATTTTTTGAAGAATAATTTTATTTTTTCTAGGGTCTATATCATGAAAGTTATGATAATGTCGTTGTTATGTTTGCATCAATACCTAATTTTAAAGAATTTTATGTTCAATCAGATGCTAATAATGATGGATTAGAATGTTTAAGATTACTCAATGAAATTATTGCAGAATTTGATAAAGTTTGTTATAAAAAATAATTTATTCATTTATTTTCCTTTTTTTTTTTTTACTCTTATTTAGTTATTAGATAAGAATAAATTTAGTTGTGTAGAAAAAATAAAAACTATTGGTAATATATATATGGCAGCTGCTGGTCTCAATCCAGGTGCAGAACATAGAATGGTATTAATAAAAAGATTCTTTATAGGCATGTTTGAATATTTTTTTTTTTTTTTTTTGTTTAGACAAGAGAACGATATAATCAGAATATTGTTGCACTTGCTGAATTTGCTTTTGCTATGATTGCAGTACTTGAAGGTATTAATCGAGATTGTTTCAATGATTTCAAATTACGTGTTGGCATGTGTAACGGTCCTCTTGTTGCTGGTAATTGAATATATACAAATTTGTTATATTTTTGATTATACTTAAAATTCTCGATAATTCATCAATATTTAGAAATTCAAATATTTTAGTATACTAAAAGATTTTAAGATGTATTAGATTTCTGTCAAGAAATGATTTTGTTAGAAAATATAAGGAATTCTTCTGTTTTGAATTACCATAAATTATTTAAGTTCTATACTGATCTTATTTTTCAGGTATTGTTGGTGCCAAAAAACCTCAATATGATATTTGGGGAAATACAGTTAATGTTGCATCACGTATGGATAGTACTGGTGTAGATAGCTGTATTCATGTAAGTAAACAATAAATTGTTTTATTTCGAAGAAAGAAAAAATAAAACAATTTTTGTTTGATCATTACAAAGGTACCGGAAGAAACTCAAAAAGTTTTATTTGAAAATGGTTATCCATGTGAATGTCGTGGACCAATATATGTTAAAGGTAAAGGTAATATGACAACATATTTAGTACGACCACGTGGTTATATGATGCCAACATCAACTTCACATGTTTCCTCAAAATTCAATGCATCGAATAAATGAATAAAAATTCAATATTTTTCTTCCGAGTCAGATTTCATCCCAGTGAACATAAAGCTCATGTGGCTTTTCTTTTGTTTTATATATATATATATATATATGAAATAATGCTGGTGATGAGAACAGTATCTATTAATTTCTTTTTTGTATACATTTTATTTTATTTTACATAATAAAGAAATTTAGTGTGAATTATAGAAACAAAAGATCTGACGAACGACAAAAAAAAAATGTTTCGTTTCGTCTTTAGCGTTTTTTCTGCATTCGTGGAACTGATGTCGTTGGTCGTTTGGCTAAAAAAAAAAAAAAGAATTCTGATACACTTTATAAATCTATCAACATGATGGTATGCTTAAACAAATATTTGAGCCTATCGAAGTTTCGTGACTCTGCTTACAATCTATATATATATATATATAATGATCAAGGTGTGTCTGTTTCTCTGTGCCGGGTTAAAGGTTAAATAAGGCTATAAGGAGAAGGTGCCAAGGGCTGCTGTATAGGGACTCATAGATCCTTAAGGGCTATCCTATGAAGGTACCCATAGGTCCTCAAGGGCTATCATATGGGGGAACTCATATGTTCTGAAGGGCTGTTCTATGGAATACCCATCCATAGGCCTTGAAGGAAGTAAGGCAATAAGAGTATAAAGCTACAAGGGCGAAGGCTACATGTACTATAAAAATATGTGTGATATAACAGTATGAAGCCATAGGGCTATTTATCTATATACATAATATCGAGTGTCTGTATGTCTGAGGTCATACGTTAAAGAAGAAAACAGTCGTGCAATATGCACGAGCTCACAGTAGTTAGATAATAACTTACAGTAATCAACAGATTGATTTTGACTTGATATTTGACCGGTCATAGTATCAGATGAACTTTTATTTCTAAAGAAATAGATATCATAATCTGAAAGGAGAAAAAGAAAAAAAACATTTTCAATAACTTACTCTAAAACTGTTTGTTTTTCATGATCAGTAAGAATTGTTTCATCAGAAAATAGAATTGTATTAAATGGTACTTTTTGTTTACGTTTATCACCATCATTTTCATTCATTTTATCTAATATACCCGTCCAAACAAGTAAATCATCAACAAGTAACTAAGAAAATGTATTATTTAAGAAATTTTATTTTCTAAAAATAATCATACATACAGAAAATTCTCTTACACCACGATTAGGTGTTTTAGTATAATTCCATATTTTTATCATTGATACAGATGTTGGTCGATCGAATATAACAAAAACTCGATTGATCTTAAAGAAAATTATAAATATTTTTTTTTCACTTAATATTTTAATCAATCTACATACCACATATGGTAAAATAGGTGCAATCCATGAATGTGTACCATCAATATCATTATTTTCACCATCAATTAATTTATCTGGTGTACGAACATCATCATCCGTACCTAGATTAAGTGTATTTACACTCTGTGGACAAGCAGCAATATCTATTAATAGAAATCAAAAAATTATTTTTTTTCGTTTTTTTTTCTTTTTTCTATCTGTTTTTATAAAAATTGATTACTTTGTTCAGCTAAACCAATTTGTTCACCATTTTCATCATAAAATTCTAAACCATTCAATCCAATATAATAAGTATCACCATGTGTTGAATGAAGTTGAAATTCATAAATAACTATAAATAAAAATTTTCTATTCGAATTTTTTTATTCTTTAATAATAATAATAGTATATATTCAATTCAATTAAAATATTACCAATAAAATTTTAATATTAAAATCTAATTTATTGGAAAGAAATTAACTAACATCGAATGTCTATAGATGAGTATAGATCATCCGCATATCTACACTCATATCCTCAAATTTGATTCATATAAATAACTTACATCCATTTGGCATTGATATATCTGAAACACCATCACGATTAGAAGTTGATATTTGTCTAAAAATATTAAATTAAATCTAATTATATTATTCATCTTAATATATATATATTTTTTTCTACTTGTTTTGTTGTCGTTTATGTTCTTCTTCCATCATTGTTCTTCCATAAGCAAAAACAATTTCTTGTACAAAATCAAAATAACAATGACCAGGTGCACGTCTTAATAAAAAACCTTGTCTTGGTGAAATAATTTTATCATTTAATTGTACATGAAGTCGTTTAATCTATTGAAATAAATACAAAATATTTTTGTGTTTGTTTTCATTACAAATAATAAAACATACTCCTCGATAAGTTTCATCTGATGATCTATTATAATTCCATATACGTAAACCATGTAATTTTTTTGATACACTTAATGTTATTATAATACGTACTCTATCTTTTTTATTAAATGGACATAACCACATATGATTTTCATCACAAGTAACATTTTCACCATCGAATAATCTAAAAATAATATTTAGTTAGAAATGGCACAGAAAAAAAAATTTTTTTTTTTTTATTACTTATCAAGTGTTTGAACATCATTAGCATATTCTGGAATTAGAGTTATATCACGAGGACGAGCATCAAATGATTGAATAACACAATCAGCATCATTAACATCTACTACTTCAATACCTGTTAAACCACAATAATCATCATAACCCCATGTTTCTGTTACAGTTAAAATTAATTCTAAATATACATATATAAATAATGTATTATATGTTTTATAGATTTATAAAAATCTCTAATACTTCTTCCATAAAATTCTGCTACTTGATTTGAACCTGATGAACGAATAGCTGTAAAAGGTCGTCGTAATGTAGCACGTGTCATTGGTCGAACCTATTTTAATATTTATGTGAATTCTTTAAACAAAAATATTAATATTTACATCAGTTCCGTCCATTATTGATTGATTAGTACCTATTTTCACATTCTCATCATCATCTTGAACAGTTTCTTGATCAACATACATTTCGTCGTTAGTTGATATTTTTTCAAGAATTCGATCGTCAGTAGTAAATAAAATAGTCTATATATTAGAAAATAAAAAGAAGACAAGAATAAGAAAGATTTGTTGTTGTTTTTACGAACTTCTCCATAACCTGATAGATCATTTGTAGCAGTTATATTTCCACAAGCTTGAGTAATTTCTCCTTTGAATATTATACGACCATTAAGTGAAATTTCTACATCTTTTGCACCACGTGCTGAATGAATACGATTTTTATTATAATTCTATAATAATAAAACAACAAAAAAATGAATGTAGTAAATCGATTTTTAAAATGTTGAAAGGCGATCGGAATCTAAGAATGAATCATTTTTAGCAGATGGAAATTTTTAAAAGCAAGTAAATGAAGCGATTAGGTTTTATTACCTCATAGCTTATCTTTTGACTTCCTTTTAATTATTTGTTAATGATCTGTATTAAGATATTGAAAAAACATATCTTTTCTATTCTATCAGTTAATTTTATATATCAATAGTAAAGCATAAACGAAAGTTTACACAATTGTTACTCGCGAGACACTTGATATCGATGAACACCGAACAGAACTCTCAGAATGAGACGTTTCAGCAGAATCTATAGCCCGATATCTTACCTACAACTAATACTAACTGCAGCTCTAAATAGAAAGTCAGTCCGACGCAGAGTTCTTGTGCTCAACTGCTTGAGTTCCCAATACACAAAATTTCATGGCTGATGGTACAAAGATTTGAACACAGTACTTTATGGATACATGTCAAACTACGTAGTCATAGTGGCCAATATTGTACCAATTGATAACTATCTCAGCCTCATCATGATTTCTATCAATTTTTAGCATTTCAAAAACTATTTTGTGTTCATCAATGGAGAAGCCATCGCTTGAAAGTAAATTTCACTGGGAAACAACTGTCGTGGATTGAATAAAATCATTTCGCAAAAGCTTAGTAAAAAAAAACACCAGGAAATTGATTTTTCCTCTAGACGGTTTTATTGAAGTGTTTGGACCCATCAATCCTGATAAGAAATCCTTTTTAAACTCTTCAAAGCTATTAACATCGAATGCAAAAACTCAAAACTTTAGTTTGATACTTCTTTCTACACTTGAGTAATAAGACCAAACACAAACAGTGTCTAGTGAAATTGCTTTAAATCTGATTTGAATCAATTCGCGATAATATTTTGAGTGAATGAAATGAAAAAGAAAAAAAGATTAAATTCTTACCCATATTCTAATCATTGCAATTCTAGTTGGATGTTCAAATGTAATATAAACAAAATGATTTTTACCAGTTGTAAATGGTGCAAGCCACATATGAATATCATCTCGAGTTTTATTTACTCCATCAATTAAATTTTTTACTACACGTGGATCATTACCATATTCAGGTAGAATATTTATATCGGGTGGATCTGCTGTAATCTATCAAGAACAAAAAAAAATTTTTTTTTTTTTTTAATTAAATAAAATAAACAAAAAACAACTATGCGTTACTTTTTTAATTGGTATTGGATAACCTTCAGCAGAAAATATTTCAATACCATTTAAACCAATATAATGACGATCGCCCCATGTTGTTTTTAAATTTAAAACTAATTGTTCTCCATTAGGTAATTCAGGTATTGAAAATCTAGAGAAACAAAAAACAAAAAAGAACTTTTTATTTGATTAAATAATATCAAATTTATTTTACTGTTCTTCATCATTTTCATTTTCAGTTTTGGAAGTTCCACTTGGAAGATATTCATCAGCTTGTTCATCTAATAGATTTAAAAAATGTTATTCATGAATTGAATGGAAGTTTTTTTTTATTTTCTGAATACTTTCAACCATTCCACGATGTCGTCGACTGAATAGATCAATTTGTGTTATTGATCTTTCAAGCCAATCTGCTTGACGATCTAATAATTTTCAATAATAATAAAGATTAAATTAATGAAAAAACATTTGACTATACCATTAGAACTATTATCTCGAAAAAGATTTCGTTTATTTGATGCTTGTTGTGGTTGAGATGATCTTTGATCTTTTATCTCAGAACCAATATGAACTTCTCTAAAATATTAAAAACAAAGTCGAACAATTCATTCATCTGTCAAGAAATATACATATATATATATATATATATAACTTACTTTGGTTGTAAAAAATTTTCAAGATCAAGACTATCAACAGTTTTTGCTGTTCCACCCATAAATAATTGTTGATTATTTGCATGGGTACTACTATTCTTCATTAAATCACCTCCAGCAAGTCGTGCTCCTATTTAGATAATAAGTAGATATTTATTAATTATTTCATCATAAATATTAAAATATATATTTTGATCACTTTAATATTTTAATAATGAATATGATTGTATTCACAAATATATATTATTATTAGATGAACTACTCAATGATTATATGATGAAATTTTTTTGTTTTTAATTACCCGGTCGTTTTTCTCCCGGTCTTGGTACATTGTATTTTCCAGTAGTGGGCAGTTTTGATAAATCTCGACGACTCATTTTGTTTTTTGTTTTTTACAAATAATCTTCGCGTATTTGACAATTAATAAAGAAAAATATATGTACGAAAAAAAAAAAATCACCATTATGTTCCATTCTTTCTTATTTTTTGATTTACGTTGTCAAGGTGCCTTCTTCACTGCATAACGATCGATAATAAGAGGAAAGAAAAGAAAAATTCTCTTTTTTTTGTTTTAGATAATGTTCCTTTATATTATATAGAGAAGCAAAAAGAATACGCTGACCTACCTACCGTTGTCGATAAACGATATGTTTGTTGTTGAGATTTAGTTAAATGAACTGTTGTTGATATGTCATCAAGAGATAAAGCTATAAAATATTTTTTTTTATTATGAAAAAAAAAAAAAAATTCTCGACATGACTTAAAAAACTTACAAAGACTTTGATCAGAATCAGAATTATCTTCATCTGATTTCATTTGTAATTGAGTATTTCTAAACCAATTTGGCATCCAACTTTGATCAACATTTATTGGTGTCATTAAACGATAAGTGATATGATTATTTACAATATTTGATTGTATTTGATTTTGATCAAATTCAATCATTTGATTATTTGCATGTTGTGATTTTTTCTTATGTAACATTTGAGAATTAATATCAGTTGTAATGGAACCTTGTTCAGTTTTAATTTTTGTTTCTGTTGTTGATGTCCATTGACGACGATGAGAATTCGATCGTTTAGGTGTTTTTGATAAAGTCGGAGATGACAAATTGAAAAAAAAAGGTGCCGGAGTTTGAATTCGATTAGAGGAATTCTCAAGTCTTTTACGTAGAACAGATGGTGGTCGTCGAGGTGGTGCGCTATGAACTCCATTTACATATAATTGAAAGCCATTTTCACGTTGTTTTAAATAATCATCATTTGTTTTATGTTGATCATTATATTCTTTAATTAATTTATTTTTTTCTTGTAATTTTTTTAAATATTCATAATATTTATTATGAACTTTAGTACGATGTCCGGGAACCTAGTTCATAAAATATTTTTATTCAAAAAAAAAAAAATAAGAACAATATCTTCATTCTTACAGCACTTTTACTTCGAAAAGTTTGTCGTAATGGATTAAAAGATTCAATCGAAGGATCAATATTTGTATCAGTCATTATTAAAATATCTTCAATAAGAAAATACAGAAGTGAATGTTCATTTTGAATGTCTCTCCTATAAAGTCCGTTGGGTTCGAATCTAAAAATTTTTAACCCAACGGGGTGTATTAGTCATTGAATACAAAAAAATATCATGTATTTCCTGGGCAACTGTCCAATGTTGATTAGTACAGGCTCTATAATCCGGTTTGAATCTCGAGAGAACTATTTCACGTTGTAAACTGAAATCGAACTCTATTGTTGAGTTGAAGCAAAAGAAAATAAAAAATTTATGACATTAAAAAGCAATCGAAATTTTGTCAAGAAAAAAAAAACAGAGAAGTCGAATCCATGACTTCTGTCATTCAGCATCGCATAAGCACTATTCAAGTCGATTTGATGATATATATATATATATATTTTTTTTCAAAGCTATGTTCAATATCGTTACATGAAATGTTAATCCAAATGGGCTCTAGTGCTGCTATATTATCAACTAGATGTATGTGTTACATATTCAGCGCGATAGTTTTGTTCTAGTGTGTAATGATTCAAGCAAAAAAACAAGAATGTGTTATCTAATAAAATTGAACGAACTCTTTGTTAGTTTTATTATTAACGCAATTCATTAAGAATGAACGTTTTAATTTAACATACATATTCCGATACTTTTCATTTCCAATACTTTATACTACTCATATGGACTGTTTGTTCGCTAGAGGTATCTAAGATACCATAGACTCTCATTTGGATTAGTCATAAATGAATTAATATTAAATGAGTATTGTTGAATTCAAAGTTCAAAATAAAAATATATTGTCTTTTAAGTAGAAGATGTCGTTCATATACGAGCATACGGAAGTTGTAGATTCCACCAATAATAATATTGTTATTTAGTTTTATTCTTGCACCATCAATTGTCAATTACTATTTTGTGGTTGGAATGATGATAAATACTGAAAAAATAATCGAAGTCGTGCTATCATAATTTTATAGTAATATTCACAATAAAAAAAAGATGGCATGTAGTAGTACTACAATTACTGTATCCGGTCATAATGCACAATGGGAATGGGAAGGTGATAAAAGTATTTGGCAACAATATCCAATTAATATTCAACAAGAAATATCTCAAGCATTCGATACTGGAAATAAAGAAGTAAAAAGATCAATTTTCTTTTTTTTTTGAATTCAATCAACAAAATATCTATATCTATTTTTTTATTTTCTTTAGGTCGATGTTAATATAACAGATGAAATAAGTATGACAATTAAATTTAATGATATGATACAAATGAATAAAAAGACAAAATTTATGCGTCGTATTCGTCTTTGTCTTGAATTAAAAGATGAAAATGGATTTTTTATTTATGAATGGCAAAATGAAAATAAAAAATGGGAACCTTATATAGCAGAAATAATGATTAAAATAGTTGATGCAATTAATAATGATCAAACAACATTATCTGTTACTAGTCAAAATCGTTCATATAATATTGATCTAAAGAAATTAATTCAAACAAATTCAAGTACAAATGTTACTCGAAAAATTCATCGTATTAAATCAAGTTAGTTATATTGTTTTTTGTTTTTTGATTGATTTCATATTAAATAAATATTTATTTAGTGGCAAAATTACCATCGAATACTTCAACAACATCAAATAAACGTTCATTAGAAAATGATGAAGAGCCTACAGAAAGTACGACTAAAAAACGTGCAGTATCAGCATCATCTGGATCAGAAAAGAGCTCAGGTAAAGAATAATAATATCAGTTTGTAAATAATTTTTTTGTTTTTCTTTGTAGTGCGCACTGTGACAACAGTTGCTGGTCAAGCACCTGTTGATGTTGAATGTAAAACATTGTTTGGAAAAGTTCATGTTTATAGTGAAAATAAAGATATATTTGATTGTATGCTTAATCAAGTAAGATAGTTTTTTTAGTTTGTTGTTTAATATAAATCGAAATTGTTTTATGTTAGACAAATATTGGAAATAATAATAATAAATTTTATTTAATTCAACTTCTCGAAGATAATAATAGTAAAAAATATCATGTTTGGTTACGTTGGTAAGAATAGAATTTATTAAATGATTAAATATTTATTAATTACTTTTTAATTTAGGGGTCGTGTTGGTTATACTGGACAAACTTATTTAGAAAGTTTCGATGGTAATTTAGATAATGCCAAAAGATTCTTTTGTCAAAAGTATGTAGTTTATATTTAATAGTAATAATTATAGTGTACGAGATATTATGCCGGATTGATCTTGATAAGATGAGTAGTAGAATAATATCCATTGGGTTTTAATTCAGATAACGTGATATTCACAATCTCTTTAAAATATGTTCAAGATAGTATCTGTTTGTAGTTTGTCGTCTCTATACAGAAAAACTCAGGAGTAGGAAGCTGCGGATTCGTGTCTTTGTGGATCCGGATCCACCCGGGTCCCGGTTTGGAAGAATCCGCAGCTTCCTATTTATGAGATATTCTACCCTCATCAAATCTACAACTTTTTGATGGACTCTCCTATAGATTATGACTGAACTAAATCATGGATTAAAATATTCATCGATAGAGAAAAACTTATCATAGACTCAAATTTCCGGATGCTATCTTCTATGATATACTGGGATCACAATGACGAAAAAATGACTTTCCTATTTCTCCGAGATGGAAATTATATTTTTTTTACAGGCACTGGATTTTGTTTGAAGTGGGTATCTTTGTAAGAACTATCAAAAATCAACAGAACAATATTTTTTGAAATAAAAAAAAAAACTACCTATCCCGAATAATGTATTGTATATGCGAAAAAATTTTCACCTGCCAGAGAAACGGAAGCATTTCTGTACTTTTAAGCTGATTTGAGGAAAACGTAGAATAATATATTTGATTTCTTCTTGAAGTTTTTTAATGTTTAAAGACAATTTTTGTACTCGATAGATAGATACTATTCAAGACTGTACAATGACTACAAAAAAATTTGGATCACGAAAGGAAGGAGGCAATCCTTAAAACATTCTAGATAAGTGAAAAATAATAGATAAGGACTGGAAATAAACTGAGCTCATCTTCAGGAAGAACATAAACTTCTTATTTTAATCCACAATTTTTATCTCAACTAGAATATTGTAGAGAAAGCCAAAAATGCATAAAATATTATCCAGAAATCTCGAATCAGTCGTTTTCGTAGTCATTTCAATGATTCTCTATTACTTCTCTCGTACAACATTACATTTCGAATTTATATTCGAAAAAAGTATAAAATTATTTTTATTTCTAATAGATTTAGTGATAAAACAAAGAATGATTTTTATCATCGTGATACATTTATAAAATATTCGGGAAAATATGATTATGTTAAACTTGATTATAATCCATCGGTAAATTATAATTGATTTTAAATCGTAGGTTTATTATTATTATTATTATATATAGACTTCGAAAAATAATGATGAAAATGATGAAAACAAAAAAAAACGTGCAGCAGCACTTGAAGAACTTAAAAATCGACCAATACCAGAATCAAAACTTGATAAACGTGTTCAAGATATTATTGAATTAATTTGTAATGTACGTTTAATGGAAGAAGCATTACTTGAAATGAAATTCGATGCAAAAAAGAATCCTCTTGGTAAACAAAAAGATCATTATTTATTTTTCTTCAATCATATATTTCTTTTTTTTTCTTAAGGTAAACTTAGTTCCACACAAATTAAAGCTGGTTATGCAGCATTAAAAGATATTGAAAATTTTATTAATACAAATAATTTTAATGCTGCTTTTATAGAAGCAAATAATACATATTATACACGAAGTATATTTTATTTTATTTTATTTTCTATAATAGAATCGAATGAATATTTTTGTTTAGTTCCACATGAATTTGGTCGTCATACTCCACCATTAATAAAAACAACACAACAATTAAAATATGAAATAGAATTACTTGAAGCACTTGATGATATTGAAGTTGTATTTAATGCTTTAACTACTAATACAAATAATCATATTAATCCAATTGATCAAAATTATGAACAATTAAAATGTAAATTAAATCCAATTAATAAAACTGATGATATTTATCCATTAATTGATAAATATCTTCAATCAACACATGCATCAACACATCAATTATATAAAATGCAAATAGAAGATATATTTGAAGTTGAAAAAGAAGGTGAAAAAGAAGTATTTAATGATATTGGTAATAAAATGCTTCTGTGGTAAGTTAAATTTAAATACAAAGAAAAACTATGCTATTCATAATAACAGAAAGATTGTTTTATTCTATCTATTTTTGAACACATTTCTTCACCATCCTTTTACATAATCATTCAGAAATGGAAATAAGATATTATAACGAGAGGTCTTTGATCATATATCAACAGTGCCTGTCATGGTTGGGAGTGGGTGAAATATTAATAAGACATCTGTGACGTCCCCATTGGTTCAGTCTGTCGTGACTTATGACGCGAGGAGATATTTCTAAAATGTTCGCGACATTGCTATCGGTAATGTCTATCAAGGCCTGTGCGGATCGGTAGGTTCAGTGTGTCACGGTGTGTAATGCAAGGAGGCATTTCTAAGATGTCCATGACGTTCCTATCGGTTCTGTCTGTGACATTTCCATGTTAATGTTTGTCACGATCTGCAGGAGAAGATTTCAAATGTCTATCGTATCGGCTATAGCACTTCTATTAGATCGTGTTCTACAAAACAAAAACAAAGAATTCATTTTTTTATATACTAGGCATGGATCTCGTTTAACGAATTTTGCTGGTATAATGAGTCAAGGTTTACGTATTGCACCACCAGAAGCACCTATAGTAAGTTATATAACAATGTTTATAAAGAAAATATAAATTTATATAAAATATTTTAGACTGGTCATATGTTTGGAAAAGGTTTATATTTTGCTGATATGAGTAGTAAAAGTGCGAATTATTGTTATCCAGATCGAAATAAAAATATTGGTCTTTTACTTCTATCTGAAGTAAGTTTCTATCCTTTTTTTTCAATAAGTATTATCTCTTTTATTTTTATTAATCAGGTTGCTCTTGGTAAATGCAATGAATTAATACATGCTGATATTCATGCTAATAAATTACCAGCAGGTTTATCAAGTGTTAAAGGACTTGGTTCAATTACACCTAATGTAAAAAATGAAGTCAAATTGTAAGTTGAATTGTTTTGCGTAAAAAAAAATAGAAATAATATTTGTCTCTATTCTTTATAAATAGAGATGGTGATATTAGTATACCTATGGGTCCCGGTGAACCGACAACAGCACATAATGCAAAAAATTATACACTTAATTATAATGAATATATTGTTTATGATACAAAACAAGTTCGAATGCGATATTTAATTAAATTGAAATTTTTATTTAAATAGATTACAGTAAAATCCGGTGAACATATTTTTTGTTTTAAAAATGTTGTGTATGAATGTTTATTCTTGCGCTTTTTACGTTGTCATATATATTTTTTTTTTGCTAATAAATATTGAAACCAATAAAATATTCAATTGTAATGAAATTCAATTATCGTAAATTCTTGTTTTTGAAAATCTTTTTTTTTGTAATTACTTAGAAACATTGATCGACTTAATATATCTGATTCTCAAGTATGATAAGGAACTTTAGGAAGAAAACATTAGAGATGTAACGAATAGAACTGTAATACAGTACATATCCGAACATAGGCGGCGGAACGTTTTCCATCTAGGATGAGCTCAACATTTTTTATAAGATCCTTACCGAAAAGTTAAAAATAGAGAGGGTAATTTTTTTATGCTATGCCATTCAAATAAAACTCAATTAATAGTGTTTATTTCGAACTCACATTTTTTTAACGTACAACATTAGTGCAGATCAGAGATGAGTTTGGAACTTATGGCAACAAACTTGTATTCAAGAAGCCACTTAAACTTCTGTCCTAATTGAATAGTGACCTTCAAATATAGTCCATCGGATGCAAAATTTTTGGATCCCAATCCGGATTGGTAGTCTTCGTACCCGCAATGCAATTTTTTTACTCCAAATCTGATAATTATTTCAAACATACTACTAGGTTGGAAATAATATTTTCCTAAAGGATAGCATTATGATTTCTATTAGTATAAACCATGAGTTTTATACTCAATGAAAGCTCGTGAAAATGGGTTTCACGAGAATAATTGGCAATCCATAATATGAGAATGAACTATAGAATTATAGAAAGTTTCAAATTTTAGATGTATAATTAGACATTTCCATCGATATGCAACCAATAAAACATTAGATTTCTTCGCCTTTCACACTTTATGAAGCTCTCTTCGCTGATTATTTTGGTAAAAAAAGGTTTTAAATTTGATCAATAAATAACGATGCTAGGGTCAAAATGCTGACAATCTCAAGCTGCTGTGGCTGATAGAGCTATTATATTTATGAGTACTTTGACTCTAGCATCATTATTTATTGATCAACGGTAAAACTTGAGGGTGTGCGTGTGGGTATGCCGGCGTTTCTCTTCTTTTAATCAAAGCTCACATCCACACTCACACCCTCCAGAGCAACGAACCGTGACATATATATCGCCACACATTGATACTCGATGTAGAAGGTTCCCCGCCAATAGCTTTTTAAGCAACATTATATGATCGATATTATGCAATCCATGTTTGTCCATTTATATCACCAAGTTTCAAACTGTACAATACAAATAGATCCTAGAGCATCTCTATGATCAACCGCCGGTGTGACATGATTTCACCTAAGCAAAAAAAACATGCGCCATATTCCTCATTCAAAGGAACATACGAGAACTTTATTTTTTACCGAGTTATATGATGAAATCATTTAAACCTCTTTTTAATATTTTCAATATTTCTTTTCACAAGTGCCAAATGAGGATGCATAGGAGGCAGCGACTTTTTAAAAACTTCAAGTGATGTTTCAAATGATGAAACTGCTTTCGAGTACTCGCCCATGTTATTATACACCATAGCGATGTTGTTGTAGGAAGCAGCTAAGTCAGGATGATTCGGAGGGAGAGCTATTTTTAGGATTTCAAGTGATCTTTCGTACGATGAAAGTGCTTTCGAGTACTCG